AAGTCAGAGTACTCAGGGAGCGTGACGAAGCTAATGGCGGCAAAACCCGGAAGTTGGGTGTGACATGGAAGAATCTCACAGTCAAGGGTATCAGCAACGATGCCGTCTTCAACGAGAACGTGCTGTCGCAGCTGAATCCATTCGGGAATAGGGGAAAGGGTGCGCCAATGAAGACAATCATCGACAACTCGTATGGATGTGTGAAGCCTGGAGGTATGTCGCGCCTATTCATCAAGCGCGAACCAAATGATGCTGACAGTTCTCCAGAAATGCTTCTCGTCTTGGGTAATCCGGGCGCAGGCTGTACCTCACTGCTGAACATATTGTCGAATCACCGACAGGGCTACGCCGAAATTGACGGGGATGTCTCCTTTGGCTCCATGTCCAGTGATGAAGCCAAGTCCTACCGCGGTCAGATAGGTGCGTAGTCTTCTGGTGAAGCAATACTTCAAATGCTGACCTGCCCACAGTCATGAACACAGAAGATGAGATCTTTTTCCCTACCATGTCCGTCGGTGCGACCCTCGACTTCGCAACACGCATGAAAGTCCCCTACAATCTGCCGCCCGACATCACTTCTGCCGAACAATACGCGAAAGTCTACAAGGAGTTTCTACTCAAATCACTCGGCATTGAGCACACACACGATACCAAGGTGGGAGACGAGTACATCCGCGGCGTCTCAGGCGGTGAGCGAAAACGCGTTTCCATCCTGGAATGTCTCGCAACGCGCGGCAGCGTCTTTTGCTGGGACAACTCTACGCGCGGCCTAGATGCTGGCACAGCACTGGATTGGACCAAGGCTATGCGTGCCATGACCGACATACTTGGGTTGACTACCATTGCAACCTTGTACCAAGCCGGCAACGGTATCTATGAGCAGTTCGACAAGGTGCTCATCCTCGATGAGGGAAAGCAGATCTATTATGGACCGAGAGAGGATGCAGTACCCTTCATGCAAGATCTCGGATTTCTCTGCGACCCAGCCGCAAACCAAGCCGACTTCCTAACCAGCGTAACGATCTCGGATGTGCGAGCCGTCGCCGAAGGCTATGAGGAGAAGTTCCCGCGCAATGGCGAAGAAGTACGTGCGGCGTACGAACAATCGTCCATCAAGCAAGCGATGAGTGCGGAACTCGACTACCCCGACAGCGAGGAGGCGAAATTGAACACGACCGACTTCAAAGAGATGATAGCCCGAGAGAAGCACAGGTTTCTACCAAAGAATGCCGCTGTCACTACGAGCTTCTACTCTCAGGTCAAGACGGCCGTTACTCGACAGTACCAAGTGCTGTGGGGTGACAAGCCCGTGCTCATCGTCAAGCAAGTCTCTACCCTCATCCAAGCTCTTGTCGCTGGTTCGTTGTTCTACGCCGCACCGGATCACTCGGCCGGTCTCTTCCTCAAAGGTGGCGCACTGTTCTTTTGCCTTTTGTACCCTGCCTACATGGGGCTCTCAGAGGTGACAGACTCTTTCACTGGACGGCCTGTCCTGGCTAAACATCGATCATTTGCACTGCATTACCCCGCCGCTTTCGTCATCGCTCAGGTCGCTACCGACATACCATTGATGTTGTTCCAGATGTCGCACTTCGGAATCGTCATATACTTCATGGTCGGACTCCAGACTACCGCAGAAGCTTTCTTTACCTTTTGGATCGTCATCTTCGCTTCAGCCATGGCCATGACTGCATGTTTCCGCATGATCGGTGCTGCCTTCCCGACATTTGATGCAGCGACGAAAGCTTCAGGTCTCCTCGTCTCGGCACTGTTCATGTATATGGGTTACATGATCATCAAGCCTGAGATGAAGCCTTGGTTTGTCTGGATCTTCTGGATCAACCCGATGGCCTACGCCTTTGAGGCTTTGCTAGGCAACGAGTTTCACGATCAACAAATACCGTGTGTAGGTCCCAATCTCGCTCCCAATGGGCCAGGATACGTGCCAGACCTAGGTGGACAGTCGTGTATTGGCGTTAATGGTGCACGACCCGGGACTGTCATCGTCACAGGGGATGACTACCTGGCCTCCATGTCTTTCAGTCATAGCCATCTCTGGCGCAATCTCGGTATCATTCTCTCGTGGTGGGTCTTCTTCGTCGCTCTGACGATAGTGTTCACATCAAGATGGAAGGAGATGGGTGAGGGTGGCCGTGGACTCCTCATCCCAAGAGAGAAACAGAAGAAGACTCAGCATATCCACGTCGATGACGAGGAGTCTCAATCATACGAGAAGCCACATGCTAGCTCCGCGTCCTCCGGATCTGATAACACGCTCGCCAACCAACTCATCCGCAATACTTCAATCTTTACCTGGAAGAATCTTACGTACACTGTCAAGACTCCATCAGGAGATCGAGTTCTCCTTGACAATGTACAGGGATTCGTGAAGCCCGGAACTCTTGGGGCTTTAATGGGATCTTCGGGCGTAAGTCATACCTCAATGTCCACTGTGAGCGTCTTGAACTCTAACACTGTATGTAGGCTGGCAAAACGACATTACTCGACGTTCTCGCTCAGCGGAAGACCGACGGCACGATCCATGGGTCTATCATGGTTGACGGACGAGACCTCCCGGTATCGTTCCAGCGATCGGCAGGCTACGTTGAACAGATGGACGTACACGAGTCGTTGGCCACGGTACGCGAGGCTTTGGAGTTCTCTGCTCTTCTCCGACAATCTCGTGAAACACCACGAGACGAGAAGCTCCGCTACGTGGACACCATAATCGACCTCTTACAGCTCCACGACATCGAGCATACACTGATCGGCCGACCTGGTGCTGGCCTCTCCATCGAGCAGCGTAAACGATTGACGATCGGCGTTGAACTGGTAGCGAAGCCCAGCATCCTGATATTCCTGGACGAGCCGACGTCTGGCCTCGATGGGCAAGCTGCATACAACACTGTGCGCTTCTTGCGCAAGCTCGCGGAAGTCGGACAGGCCATCCTCGTAACGATCCACCAACCATCAGCCCAGTTGTTCGCGCAATTCGATACGCTTCTCTTACTCGCCAAGGGTGGCAAGACTGTCTACTTTGGCGATATCGGTGACGATGCAAGTACGGTGAAATCCTACTTCGCTAGCAAGGGAGCGCCATGTCCACGCGAGGCAAACCCTGCCGAGCACATGATAGAGGTCGTCTCCGGCAGTTTGTCTCAGAACACGGACTGGAACAGGGTTTGGCTCGAATCCCAACAGTACAACGACGTGACCGAAGAGCTTGACAGGATCGTTGCGGAAGCCGCCGCTCGCCCACCGGGTACTGTCGATGATGGTTATGCGTTTGCCTCGCCCATGTGGGAGCAAGTGAAAATAGTCACGCATCGTATGAACGTCTCGCTTTTCCGCAACACCGATTACGTCAACAACAAGGTGATTATGCACATCCTCTTGGCTTTACTTAACGGCTTCACCTTCTGGATGATTGGCGATAGTCTTCAGGACTTGCAGTTGCGACTGTTCACTGTATTCAGCTTCATTTTCGTGGCCCCTGGCGTCATCTCCCAGCTACAACCGCTGTTCATTCAACGCCGCGATGTTTACGAAACGCGCGAGAAGAAGAGCAAGACATACCACTGGGCGCCGTTCGTGACAGGACTGATCGTTTCGGAGCTTCCGTATTTGGTCGTGTGTGCGGTCATGTACTATGTGTGTTGGTACTTCACGGCAGGTTTGCCTGGTGCAGCAAAGTACGCTGGCAGCACATTTTTCGTTGTGGTAGGCAACCCCCCTCTCATGGCAGCGTCGACGGTGCAGAAACTGACATATCGCAGCTTGTTTACGAGTTCCTGTATACTGGTATCGGGCAGATGATCGCAGCCTACTCTCCCAACGCCGTATTCGCCTCGCTCGTCAACCCTCTCTTCGTCACGACACTGGTGTCTTTCTGCGGAGTTCTGGTTCCCTACAGTCAACTCGAGCCGTTCTGGAGGTACTGGCTTTACTATCTGGACCCGTTCAACTACCTGATGTCCTCTCTCTTGGTGTTCACCACCTGGTCTGCGAATGTGGACTGCAAATCGAGCGAGCTCGCCATCTTCGACCCTGCTGCCAACCAGACCTGCGGCGAATACCTCTCAGTCTACCAGCAGGGTATGGGATCCGGTGTCAACCTGCTCAATCCCGATGCCACCGTCGACTGCCGCGTGTGCCAGTACAAGAGCGGAGCGGACTTTCTCCGGACCCTGAACCTTGCGGAGGAGTATTATGGGTGGAGGAACGCCGGCATCGTCGTGTTGTTCTCGGTGAGCAGTTACACACTGGTGTACTTGATGATGAAGTTGAGGACCAAGGCTACAAAGAAGGCGGCGTAGAGGGGCGTCGTGTTGTGAGATGGGATGAGATGCGAGACGGACGCGTCGGTAATGTTGCGGCGAAGACGACGGTCAGCGGGGTTTCTGTGCAGGTGCTGTGCATAGGTGGCGTAATTTAGATTTCCTATTTAGATTTCCTATATCGTGTATCAATACCACTGTCTCTTGACGAAACGCGTGGAGAATTTGGCCTGTGAACCTATCGTGCCTGTGAGGCTGTAGCAGTCGCCAAGCGCTTGGCTAACTCCGATGACTAAACTAGCGTCTCACGCATCCCCCGACGCGACCGTCCAAGCGTCTTGCGTGCCGGCGCTGCTACATCTTCAAGAGCACTCTGGCCCACCGCACAGCTCGCAGTCTACCTATCTTCGGGAACTCCGATACACGATCTACCGGAATCTCGGGGTCTCCAATGGACGCCTGAAGAGACGCGATGGATGGAGTAATCCGCCTGATAGCGCCGCGGCGTGGGATTGGCGTCTCCAACCGCGACCCGCTGCACCGACGTCATGGTCCAGGAACGCGGCCCAGGTCGCGTGCGCGACGACGACGATGATGCTAAACTCTGTCTTCCTAATTTCACGCTTGAAGACTACTCGACGCTTTACATCATTCTGACCTCCGCTACCACACGATCGACTCGGACTTTCCTCCGCTACCGACTGCTAGACGTCTCTTCCCATCATGGGTGTGGCTGCAGGCGAACTCATCGTACCTTTCACCGGCGCCATTCAAGCTGCCTTCTCGGTGCTCCTGACCATTGCTTTTGGTGTTGTCGCAGCACAATGCAACTTACTTTCGCCCAACGCGGCGAAGGAGGTGTCGAAGCTATGCGTGCGCATGTTTCTGCCGGCTTTGTTGATCTACAAAATTGGGTCCAATCTGCATCAGGACACCGGAGTGCGATATGTGCCTGTTCTGAGTAAGTCTACTTTGTGGGCCTTCGTCAACTATATGCTTACCACAATTGTTAGTATGGTCGATATCCTATACACTACTTTCCGTCCTCGTCGGCCGCGTCCTTACGCGACTCTTTAAACTGCCAGCTTGGGTAGCACCAGCAATCGCCTTCAATAACACGACCTCTCTTCCCCTCCTCCTTATACAGTCTCTCAAGCAAACCCAAGTTCTCGATGCCATACTCATTGGCGGCGAGTCTGGCAGTGAGGCCATGGATCGAGCCGAATCATACTTCCTGGTGAATGCAATGGTCAGCAACTCGCTTACCTTCGCGCTTGGGCCGCGCTTGTTGAGGCCAGGAGACGAGGACGCATCCAATGAACCACATGAAGAGGACGATGATTCGGAGAACGGCGAAGCGAACGGAGATGGCGTGAGTAGTGATATGGAGCGAGGTCCTGATGGGATAGTCGATGAGGAGACTTCGCTACTCCCACAACAGTTGACCAAGCCCGCAAATCGTGTGGAGGTAAAGGGATATTTGAAGACAAGAGCATGGTTCAACAACTTGTCTCCGTGGCTACAAGAGACACTGGAAATCACATGGCATTTTGCCAACGCTCCCTTGATCGGCGCTATCGTCGGAGCAGTAATCGGATTGACGCCCGCGCTTCATCGAATCTTTTTCAGTCCTAGCAACGAGGGTGGTTATCTCAACGCGTCGATCACGGCGGCGATAAAGAATATCGGTGATCTGTTTGCTTCGTTGCAGATCATTGTTGTTGGGGTAAAGCTCAGCAAGAGCTTGTTGCGCATGAAGCGCGGAGAGCACAGTGGGGAGGTGCACAAGGGTAGTTTGGCGACCGTGACCTTGATTAGATTCATCATCTGGCCCTTGTAAGACTCTTTACCCGCTACATGGAGGAAGCTTCGACTAATCGACAACAGAATAAGCATACCTTTGATCTACGCAATCGCCTCGAAGACGAAGCTTCTAGATGCAGACCCTATGCTTTGGTTCTCGATGATGCTCATGCCGACCGGTCCGCCTGCTATGATATTGGTAGCGCTAGCCGATGTTACAGGTGCAGCGGAGTCGATGAAGATGACTGTTGCAAAATTCTTAACAGTAAGAAACCATCAGATACTGTCAGCTGGTAGCATCCACTAACCCACCGGCAGATCAGTTACGCAGTCACTCCCATGATATGCTTTGCTGTAGTTGGAGCTTTGAAAGCTACCGAAGCTGCGATCGATCAATGAGCACGCGTGTTGCGTCTTTTTTCTTCAAACTCTTCTATCACCTAGCTCTAAATTGCAAGATGTTCGATACATGCATCGTTGAATCCGCTTGCTGTCGTTGGCATGGTCGAGGTTCTCCAAGCTTCGCGTGATGCAAACTCTCGACTTCCAAAACGTCATCCATTGACACCTGTCCAATCAGTCTTTTTAGGGGTTTGCCTGGCTATGCCGAAGACGTAGGCTACCGATACTCAATATAGGCCGCATGTTTCCGGTATTCAGACAAGTGTCGCAAGTAGTCAGAGCGAACAACTCTTCCGTCGTCCGTATATCATGTCAGAAACAAATACGCGAATGCAGATATATAAGTCATGATGGCAAGGTCCCTCCCACATCTCAACCTTCAAGTTGCTACATTTCAGGCGGCTGGGTCAATCTCGGTCCGAAACCTACATTGCGCTATATGTGAACTGTGCAAGCAACATCAAATTCAACATCGTTGGATGCTTTGCTTAGACGTAAAGTTGCGTACTTCGCGCAGATACTCCATCATGGTCCGAAAGACATGTATTTCATCATGTCTTTGATGCTGGGTTCAATGCCACTACTTTGGTGTGGCGAATGTCGCACCTGCCTATCAAGGCTAAAGGCCGTTGCGGGGCACGATAGCTGCGCTTGATTAGGTACTTAATCTCTCCAGCATCATCTCCTTAATTCTGAAATGACTGTTGTATATTCCCGTGTTTATGAGTGCTTGCATCATGAAGACACTAGCCATTCTGTTCTCGATCGCTTCGTTCACATTCGCCCATCCAAAGCCTACAAAGCCTCTCTCATGGACGCTTACACCCACAAACAGTACACAACAGTTCCGCGGCCTTTCGCCTGTTGACGAAAAGGTACTGTGGGTGTCCGGTACGTCTGGCACCATCCTACGTACCTCCAACTCCGGGAGAACGTGGGTCGACGTGTCCCCGCAATTTGTGTCCGAGAATGCTTCAGACTTCCAGTTCCGCGATATCCAGGCTTTCTCCAAGAAAAATGCCGTTGCTTTATCGATCGGTGAGGGAAACTTGTCACGCATCTACAAAACGGATAATGGGTGAGTTGCTATGTACAAATTACATGCAATACGTATACTGACTTCGCGCGCCAATGTCCAGCGGAAAGAGCTGGAGACCCACGTTTATCAATGAGGAAAAGACAGCATTCTATGATTGCATGGCGTTCGAGATAAAAACAGGTAGAGAAGGCCACGGCGTTGCAATGAGCGATCCTGTCGACGGCAAATTCCGTCTGCTAGAAACGTGGGATGGTGGTGCGCACTGGTCTATTGTTTCGAACAAGACGATGCCGCCAGCGCTGGACGGCGAATTCGGCTTCGCAGCAAGCGGAACATGCATTGAAGCTGCGGCGGGCCGATGGTACATCGCAAGTGGCGGCGTGGATCCTGGAAGAATTTTCTACACAACTTCCGATAGCGTCAGTCATGGCTGGCAGGTCGCGAACTCGTCCATTTCTGGCGGTGCCGCTGCCGGTGTGTTCTCAGTGCGTTTTCGCGATACGCGTCACGGTATCGCAGTCGGTGGAGACTATGAGCAACCTACAGCCAGCAACAATACGGCGTCTTGGTCGAACGATGGCGGCGTGAGCTGGCGAAAGGCTGACTCGTTTCCGCGCGGATATAGATCGGGTGTCAGTTGGGTGCCAGGTAGGAGACAAACAGCCGTTGCAGTTGGAACTAGTGGGTCAGATGTCACTATCGACGGAGGGAGGAATTGGGTTCCTATCGGTAATGGAACGTTCGATGCTGTCGAGTGCGTTGAGAGCGACGTTTGCTGGGCCAGTGGGTCTGGCGGACGGGTTGCAAAACTGGATCTACGGGGGCTGTGAGCAACGATATCAATTTGAGGCACCTTTATCAGTTCAACCAAATCTGTGGGTATGAAGACAAGAGTGTGCAACATTGTAAGGCAGTATAGGCTTCTTGGTATTTATTTTGATAACTTGTCCACTTCTATCCCTCAGTGGGGTGAGATCTCGACGAGGCACACCTAAAGACGTCCATGTCAATGGCTTCATGTAACTTTGGAGACGCAATGGTTGCCTCCAATCCAACCTTCGCTGGCGTTGCACGGCAACATCCTCATCAAAGCCACCCTGCACTTGCGTATATACAACCGTAACGAAAAATCGCGTTACTTAGTGCTAGCCAAGGGGCGAACGCGACTTTTGGGCAATGTATGCTCCGCCGCGCGACTAAGATATAGTGGTGTTGAGTCGCTCAATTATTGTCGTAGTCTGCAAGGTGGAATCACTCTTAATTCGATGCCCTCGTCTTTAATCGTCGTGGGAACGCTCAGGTAGGATTCGCGTGATCGAAACGGTGAAGCTGTCAGGGGTGGTGTAGGCGTGGCGTCTCTGTTTCCCTTTTCCACGTCTGCGGAACCGTGCAGCGATGAGGTAACGTCGTCATTATCGTTGTTGCGGAACACCACGTAGAAAATGATGGTTGTGAGGGCCATGGCTCCGGCCAGACTACCGTAGAATCGAGTAAGGTATGGATCGCGCGCCCCTTCCGCGATGACTAGCGCGATAGCAGAGCCTATACCCGTAATAAGCATGTTGATAGCCTGTACGAGAACCTTCATCTCCTTGGGTGCGTGCTTTTCTGCGTATTCCATGGCAGTCGTCATGGCGAAGACCTCGCCCGTCGCTATGAGAAAATAAAGCGGCGCTTGTACCCAAACATTAGGCCGATCTTGTGCGACAGATTGGCGGTCTCCGCAGTCTGTTGGGTGGTCGAAGCAGGGCGGGGATGCGTAAATGTAATGCTGCACTAGAGTCGCGTGCAGCATCGAGAGCACGACGAAGCAGAAACCAATGGCAATGCGAGTGACTGGCTTCAGATATATGCGCCGTTTGGCTAGCATGGGGTTGAGGACGTACTCCACGAGCGGACTGACTATGATGCATGCCACTTGGTTCATGCCAGGCAGGATATCGTTGGGTGTACTACCAGTATCCATATCGCTCGCTTGAGAGATCAAGTTGTTCTGCATTTGGTCGAAGCAGATGTAGAAGACGATGAATGCCAGGCTAATATACATGTTAGTATGCTTGAGAAACAAGAGTGGTAGCACTTACAGCACGCGACAAGCGCCTAACGCACGTGTCAGTTCGTCGACGAACTGGCTACTCCATGGGACTTCCTTGGATTTCTCCAGGCGCTGATACGCTGGGTCTGCGCGATCCATCCGGCACCCGTTGCGGACGGCGCAGCTGAGAACTTTCGCAGCAGGTACAATGACATCTGCCTCCTGAGGTGGGTCGACTGTAATGTTTTAGCATAAGGCGTACCAAATGAGTGAGTCATGCGTACCGAAACACTTCCTTCCGAAGACCAGCATCCCAAGGGCGATGATGATACAGCCAAGACCCAACGCATACGAAGGAGCGAAGTCATGATGCCTCTCAATGTAGACACACGGAAATGCCGACAAAGCTCCTACGTTACCAATCCAGAAGTATAGATTGTAAATGAACTTTAGAGTGATTTCGCTGTCAACGACGACCCGTTCGCCTTTCGACGACGCTGGTAAGTACTTCGAAAGACACGTTCGCGCCACGCGTCTCCTCAGCCATTGAAGCAAACGGTTCTGCGTTCCGCAAAGCGTCATTTCTCGTGGAGCTCTATCTGTGTACTGGTTGGCGATGAAAGACCTCATGATGGCCTGGGTCTAAGAAATTCAGTACGCGTAGGAATGATTGTTGACTGCTTTACTCACACCACCCCCACCAAGGGCTATCAGGACCATTGCAATGATCAGACCAGGCAGACCCGCGCCTCGACCGAGCATGGAGGGTAGCGAGCTGACGACCAGTGCAAGACATCCCAGGGCATATACCGTCAAGCTGATCAGCAAAGTCTTGTATTGGCCCAGATGATTATCTGCCAACGGCGCTATGAAGACAGGACTTGTGAAGTAGACTATGAAGAATCCACAGTAAATGCGTGTTGCCGTCGTCTGGCCAAGGTTAAGCGCACCAGGGGTGTGCTCCATATCGTGATGCCGGGGATGTTCCATGTAGTTTTCTACAACAAGCTAGTCAGAACAGTTGATGGAGACGAGGTATTGGCAACGACATACGCCAAGGGGCTGTGACTGTCCGTAATAGAGTCAGTGCTAGTTCAGGCATGATGTTGCGGTATGATCAAAACACTCACGTCCCCAGAAAGTTGCCCTCTCCCAGAACCCGATGACAGCAACGATCCAAAGCTGCCATGGTATACTACCTCTGACACGCCGCAGTCGAGAAACATTATGCTCGGACTTTGTGTCATTCGTACTGGACGCCTGTGATACTGGGCTGTTTGGTACACTGCCTTCAGGGTCAGTGCTGGTGGTTGTCATGGTGTTGATCGAGGACTTGCCCGTTCATGGTTGCGGTTCGCTCCACTGCCAGAGCACTGCGTTCGCCCGCCGTTGGTTCGATAAGAGAATGGGAAGAGATGGTGAATTCGCCTGCGAATTGACCAAGCCGGGCTATAAGTGAAGAGCGCGTTACGTGCTAGTAAAGCGATCCTCGGAGAGCGAGGAAATGAAAGTTCGGTGGTAGCGACAAGCGCGAGAGCCCAATAACGAGTGAGTTGCTGTCGACCTGCAGTTACCTTACTCAATACCTACCAATGTTGCGGTGAAAACGTGCTCCATCTGTCGGTTCCTGCTGGTGCGGCTGCCCGTGCGGGAAGGAGGTATGCAGACGTAATCGCGTCTTGAATGCTCAGTAGTGTTTGATCAGCGTTTTTGTGTGCTACCCTTGTGGGTTTGCACACCGAAAAGCCATTAGTGGGGTTGCCACACTTCAAAGAGAAATGAGTGTTCGATCCATGGGGCGCGGTTACTGTCATCCAACAGCACGCATTGATACAACATCCACAAGTGTTGGTTGAGCAGCTGTTCTACAAAGTGGTGACGCCTGCGTTGCACTCGTATCGCTACCGCGTGCCAAGTTTCAGTAAGTGCTCTTTTGGATGAGGTGACGTTACGAAGGACCGGATTGTGGATTCAGTGCCAGAGAACGAGGACCCGGGTACCAGGTGCAGAGACAGGTACCCGAGTCGTGAAGCCATGGCTGCGTCCGCCGCGCGCGCGAGGCTAGGGCTCTTCTCCAAAACTCCGGAACATAATCTGGAGTCCCCACATGCTACTAAATTGGAAATGTGTTCTGATCCCATCCACAGATGGGTGTAGCCATAGGTGCCGGTTTCCCGTTTTCTCACCTACACACGTTCACGTTTACGGTGTTTCTACAGGCGCTTGCTCTTGGTGAGGAAGGAATCCACAGAGGCTCAAAGAGTAGCTTCTCTTTCGTATGCAAGCGTCCGGTCTCTCGTCATGAGCCGGGCAGGTGCAGATGGTCCAACACCGCACAGTGCCACCCGTCGGATGTATGAGCCTATGCCGTCTCGTGCTGTCATATTGTGCGATTTATCCTTCGACTTGGGGTTTTGATGGAGACACTGGAACAGAAAAAGTGATGTATACGATTGTACGATGGGGCGCCTTCGAAGGCTTACGGGAAGATGCACGCCCAAGCTTCCGCGCCGGTGATTACGTCAGCTGGCTCTTGCGCGGGGCCAGGATACTTCCCAACCACCAACTGGGATCCCGTAGCTTTGGCCCTCGTCACGTTCCGAAAGGTACTTTTTCAGCATACGCGTACCTGCATGTCTTGTTTGCAGCTTTTCACCGCTTCGTCCGGCAGCGCTGGGGTGTCATTCTCCGCTCTTTCAACGAGACGTGAAAGTCGATCAGATTAAGCTCGAAGATGATACGACCTTCTTTATGGCTGAATCATGGCAATTGGCGCAAGTCGCACAATGGATACTTACGGCGCTACTCCGATGTAGTCTCCGTCTTTGGCTCTGCTGCAGCCTCACTTTGGAATGAGCGTGTGATTGCCACGTCGCTTACGGATTCCTCTTGCTCTATTGCAGAAGGGACTTTTTCCTTTTTTCCTGAGGCTTCGGTGGCGGTGAGTCGCTCAACCAGTAAGGTAATGACGCGGGCATCATTTGTCGGTGTCGCCAGATCGCAACCGACGTGTGACCAAGACCGACGGCTCAAAGGCGACCATCGTGGACTGGAATTTCGTTTTGGCGCCTCGACTCACGGGAAGCCTGACAACCAACAGTCAAACGCAGACTGATTGGTGTGACTACCACTAAATAACGTCCCGAACAGCGACACGGCCTAGCCCCAACTCCCAACCGTGGGGTTGCAGATGATCGTCGTAAAATCGCGGGGCTGGACTGTGCCGCTGGGGAATGTAAGACGCGTCCTGCAGGTGGCACCAGGCACGAGTAGTGCGAAATCGGAATTTGCTCCGAAGTATTTACCGGCTCCCCCGTACTCGTTCATCCATTTTTCACATTACACGTCTCCTCAACATTGTTCTCCACTGTCGTTTACCTCGCCTATAATGTACCACCTAGACGGCAATCCGGCTCCTTCCGACCAAACATTGTTTCAAGATCTACTCAAGATCACCACATCGAAATGGCAGTCAATGCTCAAGAGAGATGCGACACCGGCACGACAGGAGCCTGCTTCGCGACCTTCCGTGTCCAGAACCTCGACTCAACTCTCGGTGCCGATATCGAAAGAGTAGAGACTCTCCATTATGTCCACGGACGAAACAGGTCGCAAAGCCTCCGCAAATCTTTTGTTCACGCAGCGTCGCGTCACTCTCTATTCGGAACGCTACACTCGCAATTGGAGTAATCAGGAACCGAGCGACACCTTGTCTGTTACTGACACCTGCGATCGTCATACTGGGCGGGTCAAGAACTGAACAACACCGGCGACCCTGATGATGCATGTACCAAC